TGGTGACAGCAAACAGTGGCATGAACGGAAATAATAAAAGACAGACGTGGAAATGAATTAATCATTGGCTATTCATATCGCTCGTTTACAAAGAGATTACGTCGTCTTACGCAAAGCAATTTAAATGTGGCTAAATTTGTTATAGTTTGAAGAAGAGTGCCAGGGCTTTTAAAAAATAATTATTGTTTTGCCTTTTTAGAGACATGTGCACCTCCTGTCTCCTTTTTAAATAGTTTGTTAGTTTTTGTTTTGCCTCCTAACATTTTGTATCGCATATAAGCATAAGGTTTCCAGGTTTTCAATAATCAGTATATATAATATCAAAAGACATATTTAATTAATTGCCATTTTTTTATTGAGCTGCGCATATGTCTATTGTAGCGAGATGTAAATGGCAGATGTGTATAAAGTCTCACAGCAATACGAACGTTTAGTTGTACATTTAAATAGGAAAGACACAAACTTTTGCATCGTTTTATTGATATTAAGCTGGTGCAATAGGCCATTTTCGTAATGCAACCAATGTCAGGCGCGTACACAGGGGGGGGGGTGGGAGGGTTAACCCCCCCCCCCATTTGGTATTTTTCTGTGTGTAAACCCTCCCTCAACCCTCCCTAAACCCCCCCCCCTTTGCATTTTTTCCCCATGGCTGACCTAAAAAAGCTGTCCTTACCCCCCCCCCCCCAACGGAGAAAAATGTCAAATTTTCAAATTTCGAGACCAAAAAAAAAAAAAAAAAATGTCCTCTTACCCGTGGATGCCCCTTTAAGGCAATGTCACGTCCTTTTAAGGCACTGGCAGTGACGTCACATTGCCTTAAAAGGGTAGTCTGCGTTCTCGTCGTGCAGAATCTAAAAGTCCGTAATATATATTTACTAAAGCCAAAACAGATTAAGAAACTTTACCTGGGCGGGGCATGAATAGAAGGAAAGTTATTCTTTCCCGGGAGGAACATCGTTCATCATTTTATACGGGGCACTTTGTCGTAACAGTGGCACTTTTCTTTTTGTTGGAAAAGAGTCGAGAATCAGCTACCTGCCCCTTCCTCTCTGTATCCACCGACATTGGCGTAAATAATTGCCAAGTATTCTATGAAACAAAGTGTGACATTCAAGGTTATTCTGGAAACCATGCAGGCGATTTAAAGCCATATCCTCGATTTAATTCTCACGCAATTGAATCAATTAATAACCCACCGATGCATTATGGAGTGTTTGCACGATCAGTTAAAAGGGAACTGAACTGTTTAGGCGTCAAAAAGCATGTTGTCTATCTCATTCACTTTGTGGTCGTCGGCCATTACTTTTTAAAGTGCATTTACCACCATTTTCAAATTGATTTGATAATTAGCGGCACGATCCACCAGTAGTCAAGAGGATGATACATCTTCTCCTTCAGTGGAATGTGTTTTATTCACTCTTGTATGAAGTTTTCTCGTTTGTTTTTTAAAGTGCGGAGACGTAGCTGCAGGGCCTAGGGGGGGGGGCGTGCCCCCTCCCTCCCATCGAATCACGGGAGGGGGAGAAAGAAGGAGAGAAAGTGATCATATGAATAAAAGTAGGGACAGGACCAGATAAGAAGACAATTGAGAACTTTTCTGCGCCAACCCTCTCATCAGAGACCTTGTAAATTTGTCTTTCATTTCCAAAGTAAGATATGTAACCCCCCCCCCCCCGACACACACACTTTAAAATAAAAACAATTATCAGACTGATGTTTGCTCATTGTCAGATGATAGATATCTAATTTATACCTCGAGGAAGAACAGATCATGTTGTTCGGTTGATCCCAAGCGAGTAATCCTCGATCCTCATTTTAATTATTTTTCTAGAATATTCCATGTACAATATTAAAGTGTTTTGTTTCTTCATGTTTTATTATGTATTATATGTGCTTGTATTTCATGTTTCATCATCGTAATTAAAACCAAACAAAACCAAGCATTTTCGTTAGTAAAGTAATTTGTTATGACATTTCTGTTCAAGTACTATTGATGCCGCAAAATGATGCTAGCAAAGCTTTAATTATTTGACAGATCAGAATATCAAAATGTATGTGGACCAGTCATCATGGAAGCATAATATGTACATCCCTCCCCATATAGATCCCTAACTGATCCGTCGCATGTTGAGTGGGGTTCAATGTTATTTCATTTCCCCGTCAAAATACACATCAAATTAGCCAAACCTGAAATCCCATGATTTGCACAAATGGTTTGTTGACTGCAGTGCACTATTCAAATTAACTCTTGAATTAAACATCACTCGGGATATCATAAAAGCGGTTCGTTTATATGACCTACATTGAGCGTTTGTAAAGCTACTATCTGATCAAATCTCTATCAAGTCCCTGATCTGATTTAGTGGTTCGGGAAGTGCACACATTAGGCTCGTTCACACATAACAATTTTTTTTTTTTTTCATAAGTTTTTATTAATTTCTCTCAAAGAAAAATTGTACATTTATAACATTGGATACAAAATAACAAAATAATTTAACATAGGTCTTTATAAATTTACCAATGATCTTTTACATTTACTTACAAAAGTTACACCTCTTCATTTTCCTTTGGAGACAAAAAATTAGTGCGATTTGGATCGCGATGCAAAGATCGATTTTTTTTTGGCGACACACAGAGAATTTTCGCTCGACGGCAAGAACGTCCGAACTGCGCATGCGTGAATCTCGACGATGTATGCGCGCTTGACATTTCTGTTCAAGTACTATTGATGCCGCAAAATGATGCTAGCAAAGCTTTAATTATTTGACAGATCAGAATATCAAAATGTATGTGGACCAGTCATCATGGAAGCATAATATGTACATCCCTCCCCATAAAGATCCCTAACTGATCCGTCGCATGTTGAGTGGGGTTCAATGTTATTTCATTTCCCCGTCAAAATACACATCAAATTAGCCAAACCTGAAATCCCATGATTTGCACAAAATATGGTTTGTTGACTGCAGTGCACTATTCAAATTAACTCTTGAATTAAACATCACTCGGGATATCATAAAAGCGGTTCGTTTATACGACCTACATTGAGCGTTTGTAAAGCTGATCAAATGTCTATCAAGTCCCTGATCTGATTTTAGTGGTTCGGGAAGTGAACACATTAGGCTCGTTCACACATAACAATTAGTGCGATTTGGATCGCGATGCAAAGATCGATTTTTGTTGGCGACACACTGAGAATTCTCGCTCGACGGCAAGAACGTCCGAACTGCGCATGCGTGAATCTCGACGATGTATGCGCGCTTGGAATCCTCGGGTTAAATCAATCTGGTTTTGATTCTCAATGCCATTCACATACACAGCGCCCGGCAAAATTTCGCGTTTATTCTGACAAATCGCAAGACTTACTGCGAATTGGATCGCGATGCAAATCGCGAAGATCAGTTGAATCATTATGTCCACACACGCAAAAAAAACACCAACAAATGGATCGCGATGCATTTTTTTTAAATGTCACTTTTTGGGGTAGGTGTGAAATCCCCTAACTGGAATAAAAATTACCAGAGCATTATATTTATAACTTTCATTGTTGTAGTTTATTTGAAAGCGTTGGCTATATATTTTATAATTTTGGACATATGCTTGATGTATAAATGAAATAAAAGAATAAATTCTCTCTGAAGAGGCAAAGGGAGAGAGAGAGAAAAGAGAGAGAGAGAGAGAGAGAGAGAGAGGGAGAGAGAGAGAGAGAGACATAGAGACAGATGGACAGAGAGAGAAAATTGTCCTGGTAATTTCATCCTTTTTCAAATAGTGCATTCAAATAGACTCGTTGCACAATGGAACCGCTTATATTTTTCCTTAAGAATAAATAGAAGGCCATACCTTTACCTAAAGCCAAGGTTAGCGATATTGGAAATTGGGACCGGGCCACAACAATTTATATTTGCTTGGATGGGGCGTATTATCTTTTATGGAACCTCCGTCGAGTTGCATAATGGATAATAAAAAGACAAGCTATAGCTTGCTGCATCGTGTTTCTGGGTGAATTGAACCGGAAATTGCATCCAAAATTAAATTATTTGGTTGAGAATGGGAAAAACCAAAGCCATATTTATCGGTAAGTAAATATAATTATAATATTAAGACTCTGTACTAGTCAATGGACTTTATAAAGCACTCTTTCTTGGGGATAGATATCATTGTATAATCTAAACAACCGTAGATAAGCTTCTATGTTGTAATCACTAATGCATTCTCAACCGTACGTCGTCACTATTAACAACATTCATCGAAGGCATGGACGTTGAGTTTAGACCTATAATATCATATCATCAGATAGATTCAAAATTCGTACCATCTGATGGAGTAGTTAATCCATGTTTACACTCATTAACTTTCTACAAAACACGATCGCAAAGACTTTCAAGATATCAGTTAAATGGAAATGTATATACCTTAATATATGGCCAATAGAAATCATGTTCGGATTACGTAATATGCATTTGTCACGTTCACTATGTTACAAACCTTACACAATTTCATATACAGTATGATACCTATGCTCATGAGTAGAATACTGGCGTTGTGGCGTGCGCCTGTTATCCAGCTAACAATTGAAGTTACAAACTGGATTCAGCCGAGGACGCAGGTTCGAAACTGAGTCACGTCTTTCGGATGGTGAGGTTTAAAGGTCGGTCACGTAAATAATCATATCTGATTGATACACGTCTGTACATACCCAACACACACACACACACACACACACACACGCACGCACACACACACACTGGCTCGTGAAGGGGAGATGTTGATTAAAAATGTCACAGACTCACAGCTACTTTGATTATTTATGTCAGAAATGTTGCTACCGTTGTGTTGTAAAGTGCAGGAAAAGTGATTAAATAATCACCATGTCGTAACACCACCTTTTATATCTTACGCAAAGGGTTATTATAATTTATTGTAATAGCTTTTTGTTTAATTTGAAAGCCTTTTTGATTCGTGATGATATTTGTCTTTAAACCTTTTGTTCATTAGGGACAATGTTTCGGATTGTGGTGCTGTCTTTGGTGATCTCCGTCGTGTATGGCTCGAGTACCGAACCAAACTTTGCTGATGGTCGAACCGTGATCGTACACCTATTCGAATGGAAATGGACTGATATCGCCGAAGAATGTGAAAGGTTCGCTATAAATAATCCTTCTCTTTTTACACAACTTCATTTCTTAATGAAATAGTAGAATGAATTTTTACGCTGTAGAAAAACAAAGTGTGACTCAATCTTTAAAAAAATAATCAAGTCCCATAAATTATCTTCCAAAGTGCAAAATCCAGATTCTTTGTTCATCATTGAAAGGAAAATATCTTTTACTTTAAAATAAGCATTTTTTTGGTTTTGATTGCACACTACGATGTAACAAGAAACACCCGGGAGTGGTAAATATTTGTTGCAGCGCAACGCTACATATAATGCAAATATGCTTTATTTGGTAGGAGTTGTCAACCTTAAAGCAGACATTTTCTTTGACCCAATTATCTCTAACCATTTTTTTTTAAATTTCTACCTCTCTTTTCTCTCTCTCCTATCTCTCTCTCTCTCTCTCTCTCCATCTCTCCTTCTCTCTATCTCTCTCTATCCTCACTCTCTCTCTCTCTCTCTCTCTCTCTTTTCCTCACTCTCCCCCTCTCTCTCTCTCTCTTCGTACCCTTCACTCTCTCTAGATTCATCGGACCCCACAAGTTCGCCGGTGTTCAGGTTTCTCCGCCGAGCGAGCACCTGATATTCTCCACCAACCCCTATAACCCTCCCTACCCGTACCCCTGGTGGGAGCGCTACCAGCCACTCAGCTACCAGCTCAACAGCAGAAGCGGAACAGCGGAGGAGTTCGCTGGTATGGTGGCACGGTGTCTGGCTGTCGATGTCCGCATCTACGTCGACGCCGTCATCAACCACATGGCTGGTGGTGAGTGAGACAATGACGACGACGATGATAATTCTGATGATAATGACAATGATGGTCATAATGATACTAACGATGATGAAGATGATAATGCTGATGATGATGATGATGATGATGATGATAGCGACGATAACGATGGTGATGATGATGATGATGATGACAGTAATGTGATGACTAAATCGTCGTATTTTATTTATGTTGCAAATGTTGTACAGCTGTTAATTGCGGCAATAATGATATATAATAATAGGGACTTTTAGATTTGCACGACGAGAACGTGGACTGCTAGGTGTGACATCCTTTAAAAGCAATTTGACGTCCTTTGAAGGCACTGGCAGTGCCCGGCTGCGCCTTAAAAGGACATCACATTGCCTTAAAAGGATGTCACACCTAGCAGTCCACGTTCTCGTCGTGCAAATCTAAAAGTCCTTATTGATGAAACAGGGTGAGGTAATATACATATAATAATACCTACTGCTGTTTATTATACACAGGTAGCTATGACTTCCCAGGCGTTCCTTTCACAGAGAATGATTTCAACGTCAAACTTGGATTGTGTCCAACCGATGATGGCGGTATTCATGATATCAATAATACAGTTGAAATGCGTTACTGCAACCTGCTTGGTCTGAGTGACATACACTATGGGGAATTGAACGGCTACTATGGCAGAGACAAGGTATGGGTTGGAAAGAGCCGAAATTATGAGATTTGCGTCTTATTACCTAAATATCTGAATGTTACAACATTAAATTCTGTTAAAGCACCATTGAACATCGTGAAGTTATGGTAAATTTTCAATAAAGTATCAATTCAATCCAATGTAATTCATTTTTTGTGTGTATAAAAAAAAAAAAACATTACAAATCAATTATGATTATTTATAACAAATTAAGAAGTACATATTGGAAACAAAGGGGTCCAATAAAAAGCAATGATTAAAAAATGTTTGTATCAACAGTAATTCCATCCCGTAGGTCAATTAATAAAACAGAAACAAAACAAACGTTAAGCAAAACGAAATAAAATAACACTGAAAGAAATGTTACTTAAAAGTAGGTCTTGCCGCCATTTATGTCTAGTGTAATTTTCCAAAACAGTCGCAAAAATCAAAGCAAAATAAAACTGTATTATCACACATCTTTCCCGACAATTTAATAGATTTTGGCCCAGTTACAAGCCATTTTTGTTTCTTCTAGTTGTACATGCTTAAAATAGTCCACCCCTCCTTCAAGTTCTTGTAACTACTCTGATCGTGTACATGTTTTTCTTATTCTGCCTCGTGTCTGTTTTACCTAGGTTGTAGAATATCTCAATACTATGATAGACATGGGCGTGGCAGGGTTCCGGATTGATGCAGCTAAACACATGTACCCTGCTGAATTGGACGATGTGGAAATTCGGTACGTAACCAAATTCATCGTATCCTGACACCCTGGACATCCACCCCTTGTCAACTACCCCCTAGGACAACTACCCCCGGGACAACCACCCCCTCGGACGACTACCCCCTCGACACCTACCCCCGGACAACACCCCCAAGGACAACTACCCCCTAGGTTAGTTGTCTGGGGGTAGTTGTCCTAAGGGGTAGTTGTCTGGGGGGGGGGTAGTTATCCCGGAGGTAGTTGTCGTAGGAGGTAGTTGTCTGGTGGGTGGTTGTCCGGGGGTAATTGTTCTGGGTGGGGGGGGGGGGGTAGTCATCCTAGAGGTTGGTTGCCCTAGTGGGTAGTTGTCCCAGGGGGTATTTGTGTTAGGGGGTAGTTGACTGGGGACGGTTATCCGGGGGTGGATGTCCAGGTGGGAGGTGTCCTAGAACCCAAATTCATATCTGGAGATAGCATTGACAAGGGCACGCATAATATTCTGTTATGTAGTATATGCCTGTTGTACACAGGACGTCATAGCGCCTGACGTAGGACTATAAAAGGGTTGGTACATAAATACCCTGCTGAACTCCAAATATAAAAAAAATACAATGTTTACATGCTGAGTAGTCCATAGGGTTAGAAAACGAAGAAAATGAGAAACTTTTAGGAGAAGGAGACCACAGAGATATCGTTTTTGTCTTCACTTTAAATTCCTGGTCGATTTAGTTATTTGTTGTTGATGTTGGTGTGTTGTTTTTTGTCTTCTTTTTTACTTTATTAACCAATGGTAATCTTTCTTTATATCATAACTTTAGCTTTACTGTAATATTAGCGGTGATTTTGTATTATTGTCTTTCATTCGTCCAGCCTTCACGACTGTACGTTTGGAGGCAGGCCATATATCTATCAGGAGGTCATTGACCGATTCAGCAACGAGGTCATTATGCCTAGCGAGTACTTTCAAACCGGTGACGTTACCGAGTTTAAATTCTGCGATCAAATGGCCTTACTCGGACGAGCCTCTGTCCCACCTGATCAGTTTCAAGCGTTTGGTTTTGATCCGAGATGGGGGATGATGCCGAGTGAAAACGCGATCGTCTTCGTCGAGAACCACGACAACCAACGCAACCATGGAGGCGGAGGCGATATCCTGTCGTTTGAAGAACCGCGCGAATACAAGATCGGTCTCGCGTTCGGTTTGGCGTGGAATTACGGAACTGCGCGTATTTTCAGCGGGTATGTCTTTGTAGATAGCGACCAGGGACCGCCCTCTGATAGTTCAGGTAATACAGACGACGTCGTGATCAACGCGGAAGGATTATGCGATGGTGGTTGGGTTTGTGAACATCGCTGGAGGGCGATACGCAACATGGTCTGTTTCCGTAACGTTGCTGGGGATGAGCCGGTTGATAACTGGTGGGACAATGGCGATAATTTCATCGCCTTTTCTCGGGGCGACAAGGCCTTCTTCGCCTTGAACAACGAGATGATTCGTCAATCGGAGACTCTGCAGACAGGACTACGATCCGGGACATACTGTGATCTGATCACGGGTGAGCCTACGACCACGGGCTGCTCAGGAACATCCGTGGTCGTCGATGACGATGGATTAGCCTACATCGATCTGCTACCGAGTAACAATGAGCGAGACGCGATGGTAGCATTGACCATTGCTGCTACGTCGGGTCGGTCTGATTATACTGGATGTGTAGTCGAAGCGGGGACAGTACAATTAAAAGCTAATGTATTATTGATTGCAGTCATTGCATTACTGCTTTTCATTCATTAAACATTCAACGGAATCATGAATCACGGAATATTCAACATGTTCAAAGCAAATAATATTCAAACTTACAATGACTATTAAAAGATAAACGTAATGTGAGAACAGAGTCGCAAAAGTAGAGTAGCAACATTTTCTCTCCCTCTCTATTACCACCTCTCTCTCTCTCTCTCTCTCTCTCTCTCTCTTCTTTGATTCTTTTTCTCTTCCCTCTATCTTCCGCCCCGCCTTGGAAGAGTCCGATTTCGATGATAATCCTCTCTTCCTGTTTTCCATCTTATCCTCTCAAATAACATTTGTCCGTTTGCTCTTTGTTCCTCAAATAAAAACACTAACGTTGTACCATGTCACCTTTGTATCCAATATCGTTTAACAGCGTTTAGTGACAGATAAAGTCAATGTTTGTTTGTTATTGATTGTACTTGACGTTGTGTTTGGTATATTGGTCACCATGGTACCTTGTTTCTCATGTTTCCATGATTACCGTACGTAGACAGTGAAGAGAATCATGATTGTTCTGATGTTTAGCTTGGTACATATATACAAAGTTATCATGTTAACAATGTTTCTATGATCCCAGTGCGTAGGTATTTAAAAAAAATCATTACAAATTCGGACTTAGAGTTTGGTACATGGACACTGACAAAGTTTTCGTGTTTACTACATTTCTATGGATATAGGGCGTGTTCCAGAGAAATCATGACTATTTTAAGCATGTTTATAAATGTGTAATGTATTATTCCAAATGTACATGTATATGAAACAAGTAGAGAAAATAAAGCGAAGAGATAACTTAAAGCAACATTTAATTATTAGTGATAATAGTATCGAATTCCTTTAAAACGACTTAGGCATATTAGAAATGAATTGTTATTAATAGATTCATTTGTGTGTATTGTAACACCCCAAACTAGGTTTGTTTTATTAAGTTAATGATGTTTTATTAATGCATTCAGTAATGTATTAGGTAATTGTTTGGAATCTCTTTGTTACTTTATCAGCCCCCCCCCCCCAAAAAAAAGTATATATATAAGTACATATATTTCCACTTCCAGATCCAAATGTTAATCAGGTTTTATCACATTGTGGAATTGCAAACCATTACTAGTTCAAGTATTAGCAGATACTTGTTGGCAGCTGGTCACTTCAAGCAGTTCAAGGAGAGTCCCAAATAGGCCAATCACATAGTGAAACGAGGTGAAGTGCCTCGATACAAATTATTTCATTCACCTATTACAAATAATTATAATTAGATAGTCAGAATGCAAACTGCATATACTTTGTGTCGTTAGTTAGAACAAGCCATAATGCTTATGCTTATCCTACCTACATGTAGAAACAAATGATGTATGCGATTCGCATTCTTATTATTGAGATAAATTATTTGTATTAAGTGAATAAAATAATTATTATCGAGGCACTTCATAAAGACGTATACATTAATATTCGGTTACATTACGGGAAAAGCCTATTGGTTCGCTTCTGCTCAGATGATGGTTTATGTATTAGTAATCTATGTTACCAAAAAAGAAATGTACCTAACAATCTCTCACATTATGCAACATAAAAATGTTAGCACACAAGGTAATGGTATGGAAGTGTTCAATTTTATCAGAGAAAGGCGACATTGCACGCTACAAAAACAACTTGTCCAAACGGGTAGTTTCAGAATTTTTTGGAGGGGGAGAGGCAGCTTGCCAGCCTCTCCCCCACGCTTCGTACACCAGGGGCGGATCCAGCCGGCGGCAGGGGAGGAGGCCAAAGGGGGTAAGGAGCACTCGTTTTTTTTTGCACTCGAAAATTTGAAAATCCCCCCCCCCCCTTGAGGCCCAGGGTAGGGGGCCGTCACCAAATAAAGGTAAAATTAACGTGTTTTACCTGTTTTTTTCCCCAGGGGAGGAAGCCCGGGCCCCCAGGGCCCCCTCCCTGGATCCACCACTGTCGTACACCTATTATGACATTGGTTGGGTTAGTTATAAAGCTGGAACTTGCCCTCTCAATATTTGTTGTTGGATCGGGGTTCACCCCCCCCCCCCCACTATCTCAATTATTAACCTTCAAATCATGCATGGTCCGAATCACGTTCGCCAAAACACCGATCTCAGTTTCTCGGTCATAGTATATTTGTTAAGCATTGTGCATGAAGGTTGATATTGCTGTTGTATTCCAACTTTGCACGTCAAATAGAGTATTTGCCCTTTTTCGAGCAAAAAATTAAACTAGGGCCTATAAGCATTTAACAGGTAGGTTTGTGATAATTATACACAGCAAGATCTAATAAGAGATGATGAAAACAAAATTAGAAGTTCCATGTCATATTGTCGTTTTGGGGGCTCTTATTCGTAAATGCAAGCTAAAGTGAATAAATGATTTCAAATCTAATCCAAATCTGTAAAATCCAGAGTGATAAGCTATACTATGTACATGTATGCATCTAAGAGTTGTAAGAATATTTCTAATTACGGACATACTGAAGCTTTTCGTCTTGCTCTTCGTCGTCGTCTTCTTCTTCTTCTCTCCCCCCCCCCCTTCTCCTTCTCCTTCATCTTCTTCTCCTCCTCCTCCTCCTTCTATTTCTTCATTTTAGAGAAATGGATGTCCAAGTTTTGAATTTAAAAAAATTATAGTAAAAACATGATGGAGATTTTTTTCTTCTTGATAACTGCTCTCATTTACATTCCATGGCATGTCAAGTATAAATTAATTTAGCACAGTTTAATCGCTACACCTCAATATCTCTTCAAACAACCGCTAGACTTTGCTTTCCACACAACATAAAGCGTGTATTATGATGTATGCCTGTCAAACATCCGGGTCGGAACTACATTCAACCGCAGCACTAGCTGAATCCTTCCGTTTGAGTTGGCATTGTGTATATAACAGGATAATTTGTGCCTCAATCCGATAAACAAGCCAATTCAGGGCAATAAATCGCTAGCTACGGTAAGTGAAATTATTGCTTGATTGTTTTACCACTTTTTATCTGTATGCATAATATTGTAACGCTCGTTATTTTGCTCCATACGGTACTTCTGTGCACATAATGTTGTTTTTATCTTAAGCCTTGAGAAATTGGATTGGCGCCTTATACAAATATGGGGAAAGAGGGGCGGGGCGGGGCGGGGTGGGGGATGGGTGTTTCACAAAGACTTATCTCATCTTGTTATTGATATGAACTTTGGAAGGCCATCCACGCCACTGGTTGCTCTCACTATTGATTTTTCAACTGAGGAGCAAATTATGGTCACAAATCTATAAAATTGACTTTATTTGACAGTTCATTGTCGGAGAAAAAGAATTATATGAATATAAGTTTGCCTTCAATCAAGACCTGGAATTATTCTATGGTAGGCAATAAACGCCCTTACAAAGTCTTGGACCAAGTGTAAAATTAGAGGGAAAATACCTCCAAAACATTTTGGTCTCTCGATAATTTAGTTTTTCTTGAACAATAAAATATGAAAAAATGTCATTTTTTTAGATTTGAGACTCAACCTTCTCTTTAAATATCAATCGGTCCGTTTATATGACCTACATTGAGCGTTTGTAAAGCTACTATCTGATTTTAGTGGTTCGAGAAGTGCACACATTAGGCCCGTTTACACATAACAATTAGTGCAATTGGGATTGCGATGCAAAGATCGATTTTTTTTTTGCGACCGTTCACACATGTCAATTTAGTGCGAAGTGAATTGCTCGACGGCAAGAACGTCCGAACTGTGCATGCGTGAATCTCGACGATGTATGCGCGCTTGGAATCCTGCGATTAATTAAATCGAGTTTCGATTCTCAATATTAAACATTTACATACACAGCGCCCGGCAAACTTTCGCGATTATTCTGAAAGATCGCAGACTTACTGCGAATTGGACCGCGATGCGAATCGCGAAGACCAGTGTTATGTCCACACACGCAAAAAAAGAAGAAGATTTTTGGATCGCGATGCATATTTTTTTAATTTAACTATTTTGGAGGTGTGAACGCCCCTAATAAAAACGAAACGCACCTGGAAGAAAATTAACAAGAGCAATATATTTAAACTTTAAATGTTGTAGTTTTTTCCTCAGAACTTATATGAAAGCGCCGGCTATATATTTTAAAATTTTGGACATATAATGCTTGATGTACATGTATAAATGAAATAAAAGAATTAATCCTCTCGAAAGATGCAAAGAGAGAGAAAAAGAGAGAGAGAGAGAGACAGATGGACACAGAAAGAAAATAGACATGACAATTTCATTCTTTTTCTAAATAGTGCATTTAAATACACTCGATAAACAATTGAACCGCTTATATTTTCCCTTAAAAATGAATAGAAGGCCATACCTTTACCTATCAGTAGAGCCATAGTTAGCGATATTGGATATTGGGACCGGGCCACAACAATTTATATTTGCTTGGATGGGGCGTATTATCTTTTATGGAACCTCCGTCGAGTTGCATAATGGATAATAAAAAGACAAGCTTTAGTTTGCTGCATCGACTTTCTGGGTGAATTGAACCGGAAATTGCATCCAAAATTAAATTATTTTGTTGAGAATGGGAAAGACCAAAGCCATATTTATCGGTAAGTAAATATAATTATAATATAAAGACTCTGTACTAGTCAATGGGCTTTATAAAACACTCTTTCTCGGGGATAGATATCATTGTATTATCTAAACAACCCCGGCTTTAGCTAAGCTTCTATGTTGTAAACACTGAGGCATTCTCAACCGTACGTCGTCACTATCATCATTAACAACATTCATCGGAGGCATTGCCGTTGAGTTCAGAACTATATCATCAGATAGATTCAAAATTCGTAACATAAAATGGAATAGTTTATCCATGTTTACACCTATTTTCTTTCGGCCAAAACACGATCACAAAGACTTTTAAGAAATCAGCTAATTGGAAATGTATATACCTTAATATATGGCCAATAGAAATCATGTTCGGATTACGTAATACAGCAGTTTATTTATTTATTTATTTATTATAGTTTTATTTTAACAGGGTGGTCTCATTCAAGTTCATTTCTGAGCCTGCTCTCCCAGAGAGCCCTGTATTCACATAAAAAACATGTACAATAATAACATGAATTCAAAACATACATACAAAGGTAAAATATACATGGTATATACAATAATTAAACATAGGTAACGAAAAACACGCATTAACAATAAATTATAAGGAAAAAAAAATACAACTATCAAATTGAAAAAACTAGATGAATGAAATGTAATAAATAAAGGTCAAATTAACGTGAAAATATGTTTACAAGGGAAACTGAAAGGTTTTGACATTCTTTTTAAAACTTTGCAGCGACTTACAATTTTTAATATGATAGGGTAATTTATTGTATATTTTAGCTCCTGAAACCGCTAAGGTTTTCGTTTTAAAATTTGTTTTACACTTTGGAATGAATAATGGACTGTTTAAAGCATAACGAGTAGAATATAATATCGGTCTTTTACTTATACATGGATTAAGATACGGTGGTGATAGGTCGTTTATGATTTTAAAAATCAAGATGCATTTCTGATATTTAATTCTTTCCTCTAATGACCGCCATTTCAATTTACTCATTAAAACATTTTGGGGTGTAAAATATTCGGCACGAAGAACTAATCGTGCATATCTATTTTGTAATTTTTGCAACTTTGTTAGATTTTGTTTCGAAGTATTTCCCCATACTGAATTACAGTAGTTTAAATGCGGTAGGATAAGAGAATAGTATAATGTAATAAGATTCTTACGGGAAATATAATTGCGTATACGTCTAATGCAGGCAATCGTACCCGATACTTTCTTAACAACTTCGTTTACATGTAACGACCATGTTAAGCTTTTGTCTAGTGTTACACCTAGATATTTCATACTTTCGACTGAGTCGAGTACATTGTCACTGTAACGAATACAAATATTATTATTTTGAATTTTTCTTTTGGAACCAAATAGTATTGTTTTGGTTTTATTTGCATTTAAAAACAGTCCATTGTATTTTAGCCATTTCAAGATACGGGTAAAATCTTTTTGGAGATTGTATTCACAAACTTTATAATCCTTTCCATGATGAATACTGCCGTGTCATCTGCATATAAGGAAATATTTGTCTTAGAATGGAGTTGCAGGTTACAAATATCATTCACATAGAGGCAGAAAATTAATGGCCCCAGTATTGATCCTTGTGGAATTCCTGATTTCACAGTTAGAAAATTACTCTTAGTCCCTTGCAAGAATACACATTGTTGCCTATTAGATAGATAGGATTCGAACCACTCAAGTTCAACTCCCCCAATACCATACAATAACATTTTCTTAATAATCAATGGATGTGGTATAACGTCGAACGCCTTTTTCAGGTCAAGAAAAATGGCTCCAGTGACCAAACCTTTGTCCATATTGTCAAGTATACCTTCGACTATTTCAGTCAAGCATGTTAGAGTTGAATGCCCTGGTCTAAAACCTGATTGCCGTTCACTTAACAAAGAATGTTTGTTTAAGTAAGAGTATATCTGATTGTGCACTGCTTTTTCAAATATCTTTGACATTGTGGGGAGAATGGAAATAGGTCGGTAGTTAGTTAATTCCATTTTGTTTCCACCTTTATGAATAGGGGTTATTTTAGCAACTTTGAAGTCATGAGGAACGTACCCTTTTGACAATGAACAATTGAACAATACTGTTAAGACTCTAACAATATGTGGGGCAGCTATTTTAAGTAGCTTTGGAGGAAGATCATCAATACCAACTGCTTTTGAAACATCAAGCTTGAGTAGTTCTTTTAATACAAAACATTCCTCGATCTCTGTAAATTTGAATTCATGTGCTGTTTGCGGTAATGTTTGCAATGCATTTATATTGAGATGAGAATCATTCGCTCCTGTTAGTTGGCTTTGAATATTATTGAAACTTTCATTAAACAATTCTGCTACTTTTTCTTTGTCTACTACAATTTGGTCATTTACAAGAATTTTATGATCAGAATTGGCATCTTTCTTTGGGAGTAAGTCTTTGAGTACTTTCCAGGATTTTTTCATATCATTACCATTTTCAATGCAAAGATTCTTATAATATTGTTTCTTTAACTTCTTGTTCAGTACATTTGCCTTATTTCTGAATTCTTTAAACTTTTCCCTGTAGTCTGTAGTTCTGTGTTTATCAAATTTGCATTTAAAATAATTCCTATCTCTTGCGATACATAAATATTCGTTGGTAATCCAAGGTGACCCCCTAGAACGTTTTCTTACTGTGACATACGGTGCATGAAGATCACAAATGTCTTTGAATTTACATTTGAAAATATTCCACATATTCTCAACATTGTGATTGTTTAAGTACAAATTATCCCAGTTTGTATCTTTAACATCATTTTTGAAAAAAATTTCATTAAAGTTTCTAAATGAACGGTAGGTACTCACAGAACATATAGAGGGCGGTGGTTTTTCTTTCAATACAAGGTATATCAATAAATGATCACTTAGACCGATAGACCGTGTGCCACTCTCCAGTGATTTCAAATTATTTGACACAAGAATTAGATCAATAAGGGTTGTACTATTAACGGTTATACGTGTCGGGGTCCTTATCAGCTGAGACAAATGCATATTGTCACTCAGATCATGTATCTGCTTTGAAAGATTATTCTGAGTTAACATATTACAATTTAAATCACCTAATATTACAATATCATTTGATAACATACATATATTTTCTAAATTAATTTCTAGGTTATTGAAAAAAGCACTTCTACTGTTAGGTGGACGATATACAACTCCAAGATACTTTGGTTTGTGATTGTGTAGTCTTATCTCTAGCCACATAATTTCTAACTCACGGTCTTCAAGATCAGGTCGTCTAATATATGATATATTTTTTTGTATAAAACATCCAACTCCTCCTCCCTTTTCGTCTCTATCTAGTCTTTCAAAATGATACCCATCAATTTGTAACAATGAATTACAAATGTTTTCACTTAGCCATGTTTCTGACAAGGTCGTACGGATTTTCTTTCAAATATAATTGCAGATCATCCACCTTATTTCTAAGACTACGAATATTTAAATGTGCAATTTTCAATCCTTTACCCTTTGGAAAGTCATTTATAGAGGTACAGGTATTCGTACTTAAGTCAATGTCTATATCAACAGAATTTGTATGGTTCAAGCTCACATTTCTATCTTTTACTATATCCTCAACATTCCAAAGCGGCATTTCTAGGAAAATACATTTGGTACATTGCCAATTGTGAAACTGTTCAGTTTTATCATCATATTGTTTGGAAGATACATCTCCACATGAAATATGTATCCATTGGTTACATTTAGTACAAAGTAGCGCTTTTTGATTACACTTTACGGGTTTCTCACATATATTACAAGGAAAGACATTGACCATGGTTAAAATGATGAAATAGGACAACAAAAAAAACTTGAAATATAATTACAATTAATTTGAAATAACGTTCGTCTCCTTCTCAATTAAATTGAATATAACGCTTGAAATTCTCAACATGAGCCAAGCTGGCATTAATTTGGGATAATTTTGATCTCTAATAATACCTCCATTTTGTTACAAAGAGTAAATTGTTTCGAAATGGCAAACAGGTACATACAAGTTCATGAATAATTTCTCCAGCACCACCATCTGTGGGTGGAGGCTCAAACACTCAGTTCAAATTATATAGCAGAATTTCTCATATATACGCTCAGTTTGTCTAAGTCTCTCTCTCTTGTGACATTCACTCTTCCTTTTCCTTCTTTCAGTTTAATGCAGATACGTCCATCTTGTGTCCATGTCTTATCAATGATTTTCTTGAATTTGTTTCTAACCTTCCAGAGTAGTTCTTTCCGCTTCTTAGTGAGGCTTTCATTGATGTAGACATGGTGATTATTCTCATCGCTAAGATTCTTTAGCTTGAATCGTGCACTGTAGACTTGCTCTCGGGTGCGATAGCTATTGAATTTAACGATGATATTCCTGGGTGTGTGGCTATAGTTGGTCGTCCCGATGCGCGGTTTCGTCGATCCGTCGCTTTGGGGTTTCTGCTGCCCAAGTCGATGACTACGTTCGACGTCATCCATCTTGATATCGACACCGAGGTCCTCCTTGCAGAGTTGTATGATTCTGGAATCGGTATTCTCATTCATCCTCTCAGGTACACCACTTATCACAAGGCATGTACGTCTGGAGTACTGCTCAGCATCATCATTAACTTCCTTTAATTCGTCTATTTCCTTTCTCATCGCCGCCATCACATCCCCTTGATTTGCAGAATTAAATTCCAACGAGTCCAAAACTTCTTGACAAATTGACTCCTTTAAATCATTCAGAAGCTTTCCTTGAATTGTTCGAGTGAGCTGATTCACAAATTCGTCGTCTTTGAGAAGACTTTCTAATACTTGCCGAATGGCTAAATTGAGTTCAGCATCGGGCTCTACGGAAGTAGATTCTGGCGCCGCGGGGCTTCGTAGCTTGGTCACGTGATCTCCCGATGCGTGAATTGGCGCCGGTTTACCGGGTTCCTTTGTACCGCCCGATACATCAGCGGGAGCTGGTGGGCTCTCCACGGCACCTTGGGTAGGGACAATGGTTGGGTGTGTCCCGTTGTTTGCTGCAGCTTCTCGTCTTGGCTTTCCTGATCTTGTAGGCATTTTTACTGATGTTTTGCTGGTAAATCAAGGGTTTTGGGTCCAATTTCTACAAGCGGTAGTCCATGTAACGATAAACAGTTCTTGTTTTCGAGGTTTTCGAGGTAATATTTCCAGTATAGCTCAGTTTAGCTCATTGTTGGAGAGAGCTAGGTCATAACACGTCCGCTCATCACTCATCTTTAAAAGTTTACGGTTGTGTGCGCCATTTTAACCAAAGCCGATGACCTAGAGGTCATGTATTTATGCGTAAATTAAGATTGCGCCCATGCAAATTATAATGACATCACTGTCTACGCGCTGCGTTGTGCTCGCACATCATCATTAAAATATTGCATGGGCGCAATCTTAATTTACGCATAAATACCACTGACCTCAGGTCATTGGCTTTGTTTCATAGCCAATGACCCGAGGTCAACTGTCTGCGCAATGCGCACTGATACAACGGTAAACTGGTGTATTATGCTTTTGTCACGTTCACTATGTTTATACGAACATTATACATTTTCATATACAGTATGTTAATTATTGTGCATGAGTAGAATACTGGCTTGTGAAGGGCAGATTTTGATTAAAAATGTCACAGACTCACAGGTAATTTGATTATTTATGTCAATAATATTGCTACCGTTGTGTTGTAAAGTGCAGGAATAGTGATTAAATAATGTCGTAGGAACACATTTTAATATGTTACGCAAAGGGCTATTATAATTGATTGCAATAGCTTTATTGTTTGAAAGCCTTTCGGATTCGTGATGATATTTGTCTTAATGTAAACCTTTTGTTCATTAGGGACAATGTTTCGGGTTATGATGTTGTCTTTGATGATCTCCGTCGTGTGTGGCTCGATCATCGAACCAAACTTTGCTGATGGTCGAACCGTGATCGTGCACCTATTCGAATGGAAATGGACCGATATCGCCGAAGAATGTGAAAGGTTTACTAATAATCCTTCTCTTTTTACACAACTTCATTTCTTAATGAAATAGTAGAGTGAATTATTACGCTGTAGAAAAATAAAGTGTGACTCAATCTTTTAAAAAATTAATCAAGTCCCATAAATTATCTTCCAAAGTGCAAAATCCAGATTCTTTGTTCATCATTGAAAGGAAAATACCTTTTACTTTAAAATAAGCAATTTTTTATTTTTATTGCACACTACGATGTAACAAGAAACAACCGGGAGGGGTAAATATTTGTTGCAGCGCAACGCTACAAATAATGCAAATATGCTTTATTTGAAAGGAGTTGCCATCCTTTTGTTTTGACCCAGTTATCTCTAACCATTTCTCTTTCTTTCTACCTCTATTTTCTCTCTCTCTTTCTCTCTCCTATCTCTCTCTCTCTCCCTCTCTCCTTCTCTCTTCTCTCTCTCTCTCTCTCTCTCTCCCTCTCCCGTTCTCTCTCTCTATCCCTTTCTCTATCTCTCTCTCTCCACCCCCACTCTCTCTAGATTCATCGGACCCCACAAGTTCGCCGGTGTGCAGGTTTCTCCACCGAGCGAGCACCTGATATTCTCCACCAACCCCTATAACCCTCCCTACCCTTACCCCTGGTGGGAGCGCTACCAGCCACTCAGCTACCAGCTCAACAGCAGGAGCGGAACAGCGGAGGAGTTCGCTGATATGGTGACACGGTGTCTGGCTGTAGATGTCCGCATCTACGTCGACGCCGTCATTAACCACATGGCTGGGGGTGAGTGCGATAATGATGACGACGACGATTATTATGATGATGATAATGACAATGATGGTCATAATTATATCAAAGATAATTATGATGATGATGATGACCAAATCGACGACGATGAAGATGACAGTGCGAATGATGTTGATGACAATGATATTACACGTAATAGTGATGACGATGATGATGATGATGATGATAACGATGTTGATGATGATGATGATGATGATGATGATGACAGTAATGTGATGGTAATAAAGTACCGGAGCTGTGACAACATAAAAATCTATTTTTATAATTTCTCCAAAAAAAAAAATCTTTTTTTCCGAAAGACCATCAAAAATAATGTCCAAATGTCGAAAAACCAATTGAATATGTTTTAGTATTGGCTGAGATATGACTATCTGAATGAATATATTTCCTATAGGAACTCAGTGTTATTTTGCTCTGGTTCATATTACTTAATTCTAAAAATATATTTTTGATGACGTCACACTATAACACTCTATAATGAAACGGGGTGAGGGTTTGCACCTCTACATATAATAATACCTACTGTTGTTTATTACACACAGGTAGCTATGACTTCCCAGGCGTTCCTTTCACTGAGAATGATTTCAACGTCAAACTTGGACTGTGTCCGACCGATGATGGCGGTATTTATGATATCAACAATACAGTTGAAATGCGTTACTGCAATTTGCTTGGTCTGAGTGATATACACTATGGGGAATTGAACAACTACTATGGACGAGACAAGGTATGGGTTGGAAAGAGCCGAAATTATAGAATTTGCGTCTCATTACCTGAATATTGTTACGCTACAAAATTAAATTCTCTGTAAGCACCATTGGATATTGTAAAGTTATGGTAGATTTTCAATAAAATTATCAATTCAATTCAATTTTATTTAATTTTATTTGTATTTATTTTAAAAAAAATTACAAATCAATTAGAATCATTCCCCCAAATTAAGGGGTACATATTAGAAACAGAGGGGTCCACTACAACGCAATGCTTGTATAATGATTGTATCAACAGTAATTCCATTTCGTAATTAACAAAACAGAAACAAAACAAACGTAAAGCAAAACAAAATAAAATATCAATGAATGAAATGTTACTTAAAAGTAGCTATGGCCGACATTTATGTCTAGTGTAATTTTCCAAACGGTCACAGAAATCGAAGCAAAAATAAGAATATATTATCTCACATCTTTCCCGACAATTCAATAGATTTTGGCCCAGTTATAAGCCAATTTGTTTCTCTTCTAGTATACATGCTTAAAATAGTCCACCCCCCCCCCCATATTTTCCTCCACCAACCCCTTGTAACTACTCTGATTGTGTACATGTTTTCTTATTCTGCCCCGTGTCTGTTTTACCTAGGTTGTAGAATATCTTAATACTATGATAGCCATGGGCGTGGCAGGGTTCCGGATTGATGCAGCTAAACACATGTACCCTGCTGAACTGGACGATGTGGAAAGTCGGTACGTATCAAAATTCATATATGGAGCATAATAATCTGTTATGTGTTATATGTCCGTTGCATACAGGGCATCATATCGCCTGGCGTAGGTCTAAGGGGTTGTACATAAAACCCTGCTGAACCCCACATATCCACAAGAATTTTACCATGTTTACATGCTGAGTAGTCTATAGGATTAGGAAAAGAAGAATATGTGTTACTTTCGGCGGGAGGAAATCATAGATATTTAGTTTTTGTCTTCACTATAAATTCTTGGTCGATTTACTTATTTGTTTTTGTTGTGTTGGTTTGTTTTCCTTTTCTTTAAACCATGCTAATCGTTTCAATACTTTCTTTTTATCATAACCTTAAAGCGCTACTAATTAATGTTACTTTAAGGGTGATTGTGTATTGTTGTCTTTCATTCGTAAAGCCTCCATGACTGTACATTTGGCGGCAGGCCGTACATCTATCAGGAGGTCATCGACCGATTCAGCAACGAGGCCATTAGGCCTATCGAGTACTTTCAAACCGGTGACGTCACCGAGTTTAAATTCTGCGATCAAATGGCCTTACTCGGACGAGCCTCCGTCCCGGCTGATCAGTTTCAAGATTTTGGTTTCGATCCGAGCTGGGGGATGATGCCGAGTGAAAACGCAATCATCTTCGTCGAGAACCACGACAACCAACGTAACCACGGAGGCGGAGGAGATATCCTGACGTTTGAAGAACCACGCGAATACAAGATCGGTCTCGCGTTCGGCTTGGCGTGGAATTACGGAACTGCGCGTATCTTCAGCGGGTATGTTTTTGAAGACAGCGACCAGGGACCGCCGTCTGATAGTTCAGGTAACACAGACAACGTCGTGATCAACGCAGAAGGATTATGCGATGGTGGTTGGGTTTGCGAGCATCGCTGGAGGGCGATACGCAACATGGTCTGTTTCCGTAACGTTGCTGGGGATGAGCCAGTTGATAACTGGTGGGACAATGGTGATAATTTCATCGCCTTTTCTCGAGGCGACAAAGCCTTCTTCGCCTTGAACAACGAGAGGATTCGGCAATCAGAGACTCTGCAGACAGGACTACCATCCGGGACATACTGTGATCTGATCACGGGTGAGCCTACGACCAGGGGCTGCTCAGGAACATCCGTGGTCGTCGATGACGATGGATTAGCCTACATCGATCTGCTACCGAGTAATAATGAGCGAGACGCGATGGTAGCATTGACCATCGCTGCTACGTCTGGTCGGTCTGATTATACTGGGTGTGTAGTCGAAGCGGGGGCAGTACAATTAAAAGCTAATTTATTATTGATTGCAGTTATTGCAATACTGCTATTCATTCACTAAACATTCACCTGAATCACAAAAAGTTAACATGATCAAAGCAAGGAATATTAAAACTTACAATGAATAATAAAAGGTGATAATGAAAAAGTGTTGATGAAAGAACTCTATTTCTCTGTGTTCCACCCCCCCCCCCCCCGCCCAGCCTTGAAAGAGTCTGAATCCGATGGCAATCCCCTCCTCCTCTTTTTCATCTTATCTTTTCAAATACTTTGTGTCCAATTTGCTCTTTGTTCTTCAAAATCGAAGTAATTAAAAAAAAATCATTACAAATTCAGACTTAGAGTTTGGTACATGGATACTGACAACATGTTCGTGTTTACTACATTCCTATGGATACAGGGCGTGTTCCAGTGAATCATAACTATTTAAAGCATTTTTGTTATAAATGCGTAGGGTACTATTCATAATTTCCATGATACAAGTAGAAAAAAATCAGTCAAGCAAAAAGATAACTCAAAGCAATTGATTATTAGTGATAATAGTAACAAATTCCTTTAAAATTACTTAGGTTTAAAGTATTAGAGATTAACTGTTATTAATACATTAATTTGTGTGTATGTTAACCCCCAAATGGAGGTTTGTTTTATTGATGTTTTTATTAATGCATTCAGTAACGTCCTAGGTAACTGTCTAGATTGTCTTTCTTACTTTATCAGCAGAAAAGAAAATGTTTCATATATTTTCACTACCAGATCTGAATGTTTATTATGTTTTTTCATATTGTGAAATTGCGAACAATTACTAGTTCTGGTATCAACAGATAATTATTGATAGCTGGCCATTCAAGCAGTCCCTCTACGTAGAGGGACTGCTTGAATTGGTTATACGGAGAGTCCCAAATAGGTGAAGTAAAGTGCCTCGATACAAATTATTTAATTCACCTGTTACAAATAGTTTTATTAAAATAGTCAGAATGCAAACTGCATATACTATGTGTCTTTAGGTAGGGCAAACCATTATGCTTATCCTACCTAGCAAAAAATGATGTAGGCTATGCAGTTAGCGTTCTGGCTAATGAGATTATTATTTGTGAATAAAATAATTTTTATCGAGGAACTTCATATAGACGTATGCATTAAATTGTCTGTAAAGCCTATTGGTTCGCTTCTGCTCAGATGATGGTATGTTTCAGTAATCTTTAAACACAAATGTAACTAAACATTTCTCACATAATTATGTATCATTAAATGTTAGCACACAAGGTATGGACGGTATGGAAGTGTACATATATTAGAGAAAGGCGACATTACATGACCCCAAAACAACTAGATCTAAATGTTGTCCTAACCGGTAGTTTCAGAATTCTCTAGAGGCGGAGGGGCAGCCACCCAGCCTCTCCCCCACGCTTCGTACACCAGGGGCGGATCCAGCCGGCGGCAGGGGAGGAGGCCAAAGGGGGTAAGGAGCAATCGTTTTGTTTGCCCTCGAAAATTTGTAAAGCCGCACCCCCTCCCCCCCCCCCCTTGAGGCCCAGGGTAGGGGGCCGTCACCAAATAAAGATACAATTAACCTGTTTTTACCTGTTTTTCCCCCAGGGGAGGGAACCAGGGGCCCCAGGGCCCCCTCCCTGGATCCGCCACTGTCGTACACCTATTATGACATTGATTGGGTTAGTTATAAAGCTGGAACTTGCCCTCCCAATATTTGTTGTTGGGTCGGGGTCTACCCCCCCCCCCCCACTATCTCAAATATTAACCTTCAAATCATGCATGGTCCGAAATCACGTTCGCAAAAACATTGATCTAGGTTTCTCGGTCATAGTATAAACATTATGCATGTATTCGTTTGAATTGTGCACGTCAAATAGAGTCGTTGCCCTTTTCCTACCAGAAATGTCAACTATTAGCATTAGATAGTTGGGTTTGTTATATACACAGAAAGATCCAATAAGAGATGATGAATACAAAATAAGCAGTTCCATGTCATATTGTCGTTGTTTATGTTTTCATTCGTAAATGCATGCTAAAGTGAATACAAGATTTTAAATCTAAAGCAAATATGACAAACCCCAGTGTGAAAAGATATATTATGTACATGTATATTAACATCTGAAGCTTTTTGTCATGCTCTTTGTCGTCGTCGTCGTCTTCTTCTTATCTTCTTCCTCCTCCTCCTCCTCCTCCTCCTCCTCCTCCTCCTCCTTCTTCTTCTTCTTCTTCTTCTTCTTCTTCTTCTTCTTCTTCTTCTTCTTCTTCTTCTTCTTCCTCTTCTTATACTACTTCTTCTTCTTCTTCTTCTTCTTCTTCTTCCTCTTCTTATACTACTTCTTCTTCTTCTTCTTCTTCTTCTTCTTCTTCTTCTTCTTCTTCTTCTTCTTCTTCTTCTTCTTCTTCTTCTTCTTCTTCTTCTTCTTCTTCTTCTCCTCCTCCTCCTTCTCCTCTTCCTCCTCCTCCTCCTCCTCCTCCTCCTCCTCCTCCTCCTTCTTCTTATTAGATTAATGGATGTCCAAGTTTTAAGGAATTTACGAGATCTACAGTAAAGCTTGATGAAAATGTTTCCTGAGAACTCCTCTCCTTTACATTCCATGGCATGTCAAGTAAAAGATAATTTTTCTCTGCAAACAACCGATGGACTTTGCTTTCCACGCAATATAAGCGTGTCTTATGATGTATGCCTGTCAAACATTCTGGTCGGAACTACATTCAACCGTACCACTAGCTGAATCCTTGCGCTAAAGATTGTTTGAGTTGGCACGGTGTATAAATCAGGACAATTTGTGATATTTACCTCAATCCGATAAACAGGCCAATTCAGGGCAATAAATCGCTAGATACGGTAAGTAACATTTTAATTGCTTGATTGCTTAACTACTTCTTATATGTGTGCATAATATTCTAACACTCGTTTTTTTTGCTCCATACGGTACTTCTGTGCACATAATATTTTATCATCTTAAGCATCAGTAAGCCTTGAGCATTTTTAATTTCAAATGGATTTGGCGCCTTACACAAATATGGGGGAAGAGGGGAGGGCGGGGCGGGGGAGGGGTATTTCACAAAGACTTAGCTCATCTTAATATGGACTTGAACTTTGGCAGGCCATCCATGTCACTGGTTGCTCTCACCATCTTGATCTTTCAAGTGACGAGCAAGTTATGGTCACAAATCTATACGATTGACTTTATTTGGTAGTTCCTTTTTGAAGAAAAAAATTACATAAATTTAAGTTTGTCTTCAATCAAGACTTAGAATCATTCTATGGAAGGAAATTTATGCCTTTACAAAGTCTTGGACTACATATAAAGTTAGAGAGAAAATGCCCCCAAACATTATGATCTTTGGATAAAACAAAATTCTTCAACAATGAAATATGAACAAAAAAGAAAATTCTGTAGATTTGAGACTACGATTTGCACGTCCCTAGAGAGACAATTGCCGGGAATGATGTGAGCGGCCAGCCATATTTCAAGTCAAACTTAAGTTAATCTTAGTCTTAATGTAAAACACGCACTGATCTAGAGGTAGTAGTAGTAGTAGTAGTCAGAGGCGGCGATTTATTTTCATAACCGTAAAGCAAAGCAAAGTGGGGCGTACATGTAAATTAGCGTGGGGTCCAGGGGCAAAGCCCCGGTCGGTGTCAAGGGGCGAAGCCCCAGTAAGCTCAGGGGTTTTAGGCATTTATTAAGGTCAGATGAGCATATTTCAATACATTATTTGTTACACGGGCATGCAGGTCACTAATTGGAGTAGGGTCCAGGGGCGGAGCCCCCAGAAGCTCAGGCGTTTAAGGCATTGAATTACGATCAGATGAGCAGCCAGGGGCCAGCCTTGGTGGGGTCCAGGGGGCAGAGCCCCGGAAGCTCAGGGAAAAATCATGCCATTTCAGCAACATTTTTAAATCACTGGTTTCGAATTAGAAATAAACCACGTCTGAATTTCATTTGGGGGGAACTGCCCCCAAAGCCCCAAGCCCCCTCCCCCCCCCCCCATCAGTACGCAAGTGCGAGAGAGCAATAGTGAATGACTACCCCTTCACAGGTTTTTGAAGTTTTGTTGTATTACAAAAATACAGTCCTTCGCAAAACTACAGTATAAAAACAAGCAATATACTTTTTTCACACTTCACTTTTCTTGGTATTTACTTGCGAGATAGCGTAGCTACCGAGTGAGAAGATTTTTGCATTTTCATTTGTCTAAACACTGCACTCTTGGGCTCTCCAGAGCCTAAAAAGTGTGTTGCAGTCTTCAGTGTTTACTTTACATTTTGTTTGATGCACTTTTTCACATTTGACGGGGGGGGGGGGGGCGGTCCCCTTAAATAAATTGAGGGGGGACGTGTCCCCTAACCCCCGTCCCCCAGCATTGCCGCCCCTGATGGTAGTAGTAGTATTAGTAGTAGTCGTGGTGGTAGTAGTCATGGTAGTAGTCATGGTAGTAGTAATAGTAGTAGTAGTAGTAGTAGAAGAAGTAGTATTATTAGTATTAGTAGCAGTAGTAGTAGTAGTAGTAGTAGTAGTCGTGGTAGTAGTCATGGTAGTAGTAATAGTAGTAGTAGTAGTAGTAGTAGTAGTAGTAGAAGTAGTAGTATTATTAGTATTAGTAGCAGCAGTAGTAGTAGTAGTAGTAGTAGTAGTAGTAGTAGTAGTAGTAGTAGTAGTAGTAGTAGTAGTAGTAGTAGTAGTAGTAATAGTAGTAGTAATGTGGTATTTATTGTGTGGTATTAATAAAGAAACCTCCGCGTTGTTCTCCCACAGTCACGATGAGTTTCCAATACTCGTCAATCCTGCTTCTGATCGGGATCGCAGCTGCCAATGCTGCAAGGACTGATCCCAATTTCATGGAAGGTAAAACCACCGTCGTTCACCTTTTCGAATGGAAGTGGACAGACATCGTTAGGGAGTGTGAAGAGTAAGTAATAGACACCTTTACGTATTATATTTAATTGATTTTCCCACCTTGATACCATGTACAGCGCTGTGAAACAAATTGTGTGAGAGCGCTATATGTGAACATATTATTATTATTATATAATTATAATGGTGCCCAAAATGTTGGAATAGATTGTCTTACCTATTGCATTCAATGATTGTAACAATGAGATTCTTCATTGAAAGATTATCTTCTCAAAACTTTATTGATCAGTCTTCATTGATCAGTA